GTGGTTGACATATTTTTTTCTTAATACTAAAACAAAACAAAAAAACGCACATCTTGATTATGTTTTAATCACGTTTTGATCACGAGTTTACTAAGACGTTTTCAGTAAATTGTAATTACGTCTGAATCTTTATAATCTAATATTATAATCGCAATTTAATATAATCTTTAATTTTCATTCTTATACCCAAATTATAAGTGATTTTTTTATCTAGAATAACTAATGTTTCTAATCACAGCTGCGTATGATATATATTACGTTTTACAAGATAAATTTGACCTTCTCATATTGCAGATGCATCAAAGCATGAAATGGATCAATGAAATCCACGACAGATTTTTCCGTCGGGCAATGAAATTGCTGATCGAACGATGTCATATTGGCCCCGATCAATACAATTGCGGCCAATTGTCGATGTTCCCGTACCCGATCGATTGAATTTGCGGTGGGTGCTCGACACAGAAAACAATTCCGCCGTATCAATGCCGATGCGAATGGTACGATCAATGAGTGGTGTTCGAAACGCCCACACTGAAAGTTACGCAAACACCGATAATACGATTTTATCAAGTTTTATTCATAAATTGTCCGCGTGATTCGTACAGTATATTTCCTTCAGCTTTCAGTGTGTCTCGTGATTTTATGTATCTCAGCTTTTATTTTCGAATTATATAGTCACGATAAACGAATACAAAAATATTGTCGAATAAAATAATTATGATAGATAATTTAATTTGCTTCTTTAGACATACGATTATAAATTAATGCATAATTAAAAGAAATAACATTGATATAACACTAATATCAAATATTTAGAATCAATAAAATCGATGTAATGGGTAATACCAATTATTGTAAACATATTACGATAATATTATTAACATATATAATAACTATTTTATTCTTTATACTATATTTCATATTTATTTCATATATCATCCTTGATCTATCAATCGTGTAAATAACATTAGCTATTACATATTCCGAATCGTGGCAATTGAAAGAAAGATATCAGATTAAACGCGACGATGTTTAATTTATGTATAACTTTATATAAATAAATAACTTTATTGTTTATTTAAATGGTCCCAATAAGCTTTCAAATTGTTAGTTCGTTTCTGAATAATAATTTAATAAATAACAAAATATTAAATGTTAAATATTAAAAAAATACTTCAGTGTAATAAATAAATTAAAATTAAAACCATTAAATTAGTCTTCTGACAGATGTATACGATTATTCGTTATATTCGTAAAGATATTAATTAACCATAAGTGTTAACTTATTCTGCGCTGAAATTAATTGCACAATTTAATTGTACGTAAATTGAAACAAAATATCACATCGTGCACGAAAAATTCGTGATGTTAAAATCTACAACTTAATTATTATCTGCGAAGCTTCTACGTAATATATTTTGAGAGAGCTGGTCTCGATACGTCAAACGAGATGATGCCGAATAAACTCGTGTCTGGCTCCACTATCGATACATTAATTAAAACATCAATGCTCGGCCGTGACTGGCAGCGAACTCACGCCCAGATTCAATCATTCGAATTTAATATAACGTAGTACTTTTATTTTGCTCTTCTTCTCTTACTTGACGTATCTCATTCTTCCTTTACAACGCCTGTTTTTAGTCTTATTGTTCTACAAGTCCGTTTTCTTTCATTCCGTTTACTCTTGCAAAATTTTCCACATACAAATTAATTAAAAAATGTATCAAGAGAATGATTAATTTACTCAAATAATCACAATTTTTTTTAGACTTGGATTATCTTACTAAATATTCATAATATATCACGCTGTTGCTATATCAAAAAATAAACTTTAAAGAATTTTATATAAATTAAGATACATAATAAAATAAATATATTTAAAATATAGATGTAATTTCTGATGATTCTATTGGTTAAAATTTAGCATTATATAATATATTATATACTATAGTATCAATGTTTTATTGTTATTAAAACAATATTTGGAATATATTTGAAATTTAGTTTACAATTTATGAATTTCATAATAAAGCATATAGAGATGTTTTCAGCAAAGAACTCTGTATAAACCTCACCACCAGTTGCTTCAAACTTACATCACTTCGTGTACAGCTACGCGCAGCGTGGGACACGACGAATAAATCTCAACCCCCGGTGGACGCGCCGGGGGCGGTAGCGGACGACTTCCGAGAGGAGCGGAGAATAGAGTAGTACGTGCTCTACCCCCGTAGAAGGGCGCGTCTCTAAGGGAGGAGCCGGGCAGCGAGGATGCCGTCGAGGAGGCGGTGGAGGAGAAGGGACGAAGAGAGGTATCGGAACGTGGCGTGGGAACGGAGGGAGAGAATGCTCGCCACCCCTCTCATCGCCGACTCGCTCATCGGAAGGGGAACAACGGGGGAAGCGGGGGAAGGTGAGTTTTGCAACCCCAAGAGATGGTCGACAACGAAAATCGTCGTCGACACTTAGTCGTTTCTCGTTCATTGACACGCGTGGGTTTGTTTTTCAGTCTCGACGTGAGACACGCGAATTCGTTATGTGCGATTCATAACAGAAGAAAAAAAAATTCTAGCTGAAAATTCTTTCTTCCGGTATAAATACATATTAGCCAATTTACGCTTTTACCATTTACCAATTTATAGGAAATTTTATTGTTAACTTGTTCTTTATCGACGCGTGCTGTCGTAGTCTTAAAGAAGAGTGCAGAAAATATCGTGAAAGGATATCGTGTGCTCTTAGTTCTGAAATAATTCTAGAAATTATCGATTGTTATCATCATTTATCGATTTTTGATATGTTATGAAATGAATGCCGTCTCCCAGAGAAATTGTCAGCTTGCTACTTACATGAAAATCTCTTACGATGGTGGAGGTAATACATCCGTCGTACGTAAATGAGGAGCGAAGTTTTAAAGCGGTGAGTACAATAGATTATATAAAATAGTTCATAAACGATCATATTATTATGTTGCATCATATTATCGAAAACATTCGATAGTTTCGCTAATGAGAATGCTACCACTATAATCCATGTAGGTAGTCTCGTGTGTGAGACGTTCCATTACATTTATCAATATTACACGTGTATGAAAGTTAGATTCATTGTGCACAACAATTTTAATAGACATTTCTTTCAAAAGCCGACCATACAAATGTCCTATTTATATCTATTCTATAATTGATTTGTTATTCTTGATAAAAGCGTTTTTATACTGAAAAAGATCATGCAATAACATTGATTTTATAAATAATGAATTAAACTGATGTAACGTCAAATTATTCACGTCGGTCAAGTGTTGGCCGTAGCATATGATTAACAATAAGTTGTTGATCTGTATAAAACGCATGCTTGCGTACCGTGAGGCATATTGAGAAGTTTCAAAGGTAAATGTACATGTCAAGAGAAAGAGAAGCCAAAGTAGAGTTTTCTTGCGAACCAAACGACACTCTACGGATACGTGTGAGAAACTAAGGTATCGCGCGTAATCGAAGGAGATGGAGGAGCATACGAATCGCGAACGAGAGGCTGAGATCGGTGGAGAGAATGAAGTGGAAAAAGAGAGAACGCGCGCAAGAGAGTCTGTCGCGGAGAGAAGAGAGGGTGCCCCATGAAGGGGGAACCCGGAGGAACGAGGGGAGACCGTGCGTGCCCCACTCCCACTGACCCTCTCTCTCCCTACCAAGGCTCGTGTCGCGTGTCCCATCTCCCACTTCTCTCCTACCAACACGTACAACACCGACACCACCGCTGCCGCTGCCGCGAATCCGGTGTACCCACACGCGCGATCGCGCGCGCCCATGTGTGCATCTGCAAATGGTTTTGCTGTAGTTGGCCGCGCCGGTATCCACGCATTCGTTCCGATGAAAAATGTAGTAAGTATCCTATCGACGTGAGAGAGAGAGAGAGAGAGAGAGAGAGAGAGAGAGAGAGAGAGAGAGAGAGAGAGAGAGGGTGGCCCACGCGGGCTATGGCATAGCCGCTATGCGAGATTGGAGGGGGAGGCACAGGAGGGTACGTCGTACGTGTCGGAGATGCACGCGCGCGCACGACGGTGTGACGGCGGCCACGCGTGTGGTGGAAAGAGAGACCCCGTAGGAAGAGAGGAACGAGAGGACGAGAGAAGAGACGAAGGAGAGAGAGGTGAGACTTCTCCTCGGGGGCCTTAGTCGCCGACTGTCCGCTACTACGCGCGGTGTTAACACCACTATCATCGTCATCGTCCGGTCCTCTCTTTCTCTCCTTCATTGCTCTACCTATCCCTCCCACTCTGCCCTCTCCTCCCTTTTCCTCTCACCTGTTGCGGCGCACCCCTTTGATCCAGTCGTTTTCGTGCGCCCCGTTTGAAGATCGCACTTCGCAGCGACGCGTCGCGCGCTACCTCGTTCAGTATCCTTGGAGACTAACTACCACGTGTCCTAGAAACAGCCAGGGTACGACTGGATCAGCGAGATCTTCGAAAGAAATCTCAAAGAAAGGACGTCGAGATATCGATTGCTTCGCTTCTGGATAGCAGATCGAATCGAATCGTGAGTATTGATCGAAAAGAAGTTTTAACCGTTAGCTCGCATCACAATGGAAAATTATTGCTTGTGAAAGAGTAGTCTCTCTCGAGAAAGAACTTCCAGAATATCAAGAAGTCGTAGTCACTTGTGAGTTTCCAAAACAAATGATGTCGGGTCGACGGTTGTAATCATTCGAAATTTCGTCGAAGTTGGTCTATTTACGGATTATTCACCGAACTAAGATCAATGACACGACTACCATGAATGTGGAAAGTGTCGAACGGAGTATAAACAAGATTGTTATACTCTACTAAGTCTACTACGTTCAAGATCTCCGAGTGTACCTCAAGTATGTGTGTTTCACTCGATATCGTTGAAAGTATCTCTGTATAACTGTTTTCACGCGAACTATGAAAGAGCGACCGCGGCGCAAACTGATGGACAATTTGTGAGAGATAAGGTTGTCGAAAGCTTGACAACAAAAGAAGTGGAACACTGCCGATGAACTTGTGGCCATGTCAGTTCCCTTTTCATCCTAGTAGAAGCTGACTTGTTTAGAAAGTGAATTTTCAAAAGTGTCAGACAAATGCATATGAGTCCCAAGTGAAGTGGAGTGTTGGCTACGAAGTGTACTGGCATTGAAAGGTGCTCTCCATCTCGTTGTCACCATTGAACGACCGTCGATAAACGGATTCACGCTGCCATCTGCACGAGAGGTGAGATCGTCGCGAAACGTGATTCCTTATCAGAAACTTTATTGAATTTACATACCATTAATTTTATCTTAAACCAGACTCTGCTTACATGAACAAAAAAAGCCATGGAAGAGTTAGCAAGTCATTCAGACTAAAATATTCGATTATTTTTTATATTCTCTTTAATACTCTTAAATGTATTTCTCTAATATATTTTAATTAAAAGACTAAAGGCGAAAGAATTAAAAGACTGTCTTAATAAAAGATTGTTGATATAAACAAAGGTTCCCGACTTCTCATATTTATCAGGATGGACAAGACTGAATTAGTGATGGAGAAATGTGGCGCTGATTTATTTAACAAACCCTGCCCGCAGAGTTATGAATATTCTGTTATAATTGTCTATCATGTTTACATTCAGTTAACCTCGTTTTACTAAATTGCAAAGCATATCAATATTATTGGCGTAATTTTTGTGTAAGATTATTTAATTGTCTCATATTCTTTCACTTATAAACTATTTATCAAATCTAAGATACTTGTACAAATTTCATGATGTATTAAAATTAAAAGAAAAGGAAATTTCTATTAACATTATGAAGCGCTTAAACGTTACTCACGTCGCCAGAGATTATCGGCGGGAGATATCACAAAAGTTTGTCTGCTAATTGCTTTGGGGCAACGGTGGGCGGGGGTGACGTATGCTGCAACGAATGTCATTAAAAAGAAATGGCCGTTTGCCTTATCAGAGATCGTTAGTACCGGCGTCTGTCTGTCTGCATCTATCGCTCCGATATATTTATTAACGGTTCCTCCGCCACGTTGACAATTAAATCGGTTCCTTTTGTCCGTTTCGTATACACGTGAACTCAGGCGTCATCCCCGGCTCAAGAACAACGGGGCCCGATTGTAAAGCTGTCAGCGAGAACGATAAGCGAGCGTTAACTTTATGAGCGTTAACCCCTCAACAAAACGTGCGTTTGGTAAAAATAAACTTTCAAATGATATCATTTGCGGAGAATGTGTACCGAGAGCAAGTTTCTCGTACGCGCTCGCGTGCACGCTTTTAACGAGCGGTAATAAAAATATCTAATAAGCTACCGCCACAATAATTAATTCCGGCAATAGCATTAATCGTGCCCATCGTGGCGGCAATTATTTTTAAACGTACTGCCGTTATGCGTTTCATCGTAAAACTCGCTATACTGCCAGTGCTTTTTCTACCCAATATCCCGTAGCGGTGTAAAACGCTGGTTCTCTCAAAAAGCAAGACGCGCATTTACCGCGCATAAACGGAGCCTATCTTTGGAACATTTGGTTCCAGATAAAAATATTATCCGAGATCCTTTATATGTACACATATATAATTTTTTTAATTAAGAAAATAAATGCATCGTATTGGACTATATACGGAATATCCATTTCTATAACTTAAAATTAAGATAAGAGGATTGTGGATTTGCTGATATTGATTTTATTTATCCTCATTATCACTTTCTCAGAACTCCTAATCCGTAAAACAGATATTACGAACATTCGCGAAAAGTCTCTCGATATTCTGCTCCGAGACTTTCCGCCGTAAGTTATGGCAAACACGCAGGGTATCACATAAATCAAGCATGAGTATGCGGAATGAAAGGAAAAAAAAGTGAGAGGTAAGGTACGATAGACACCATAGGTATATCGTCTAACGCAGATACACTATCGTACAATAATAGCGGTGCGTACACGCTCGCGTTGGCACACGCGGGCGATTCGGTACTTACATAATTCGCGCATGTTACAAGTAGTAACGCGGGTAGCCGACATGCAATCCACTCATTCTTTCGCGGTTGGAACTGATTGCATCTGAGATACGGGCAGCAAGGCGGGTAGCTCATAAGAATACGTTAGCACACAGACAGCTCCAGACAAAATAGACCACTCCTTCGCTCCGCAGCGCGCGAAAATCACCTTTTAACCTCCGGATGTAATATCTACTTCAGATATCTATATATCTTCATATTGCCTTAATATAAATAGAACTGATGGAAACAGGCTCGTTTATATGTTTCTATTACTTGTTGTAATGCACGTTTAATTTTCATACGTCTCATCATGCCTCCTTTAATCTTTCCGCAGAGGGATAAAATTATTCCAAGGAATTCTTTCTATCTTACAAGTTTATTTTAAATGTAGGTAATTAGTATTCGATAGTCTGACACAAACATGGCTCTTTCATAGTTTTACAAAGTTTCAATCAGGCCGGATTATTTGTTGATTTTTTTTAGCAAAAATGTTGTCTGCTTTATTTTGCAATACGGAAAAGCATCTTAAATTAATTTACACATTTAGCTTTGTCGGGAGTAGTGCACTTCTTACTCGTGCGATCATAGTGAAGACCGCCATAGCAATACCTAAGAACATAGTTACCATTACTACACTCATGATACATATCGCAATGACATTCGTGAGGGATTTTAACGCCATTCGTGCATAATTCCAGATTTCCACAATTTCCACCCGCACGATTTCCAACGCAATCTTGGCATGTGCGACTGAAGCACTTATCCGCAGGACAATATTCCAAACGCTTTTCACCGTTTTCGCACACGTAGAACATCCTACAATTGTCTGTTTCGTGAGGTATTTTGGACCGCGGCCAATTGCCATTTTTGTCCTTTCCAGGACACTGAGCGCAACCGGCTTGCCATGGCCAATCGCAAACCTGTTCGCGCCTATTGTAGTGCAACCTTTTATTCGGGTCTCCCGCGGTCATCAGAGGACAGTCTTGTAAGACTCCTTTACCCAGGAAGCACTTGTAAAATTTTGTACAATCGGTTTCATGTGGAAGATTAGTCGTGATGTTTGTCTCTGGGAATGGGCATTTTATCGGAATGTCCTGGTAAACTCCTTCCTTCTGAATCGATTCTTCAGGTTGATATTCCTTCGCAGTAACCTCAGTCCAAGATGCCAGGAAGGCGATAGCAATTACGTATATTCCTGTACCGAACGAAGTCATTGCTAAGATGTCAATCGTAGTACAATCAGATTGTAATATAATCGACTTTTATTACAATCAGCAAAATGTCAATTATTTATTAAATTATTAAATTTGAATTAATAAAACTCTCGACATGTACGATGTAAATGTATATCTCTATTGTTTTATTTTAATAATCTTATTACGGAGATACGTTAAGCGCTTACCCTTCATCGCCTATTGTCCAGTCAGTCCAAGATTTGAAAAAAGAAAAGATGTAACGTTCGTTGCAACACCTTTCTCATCCGTTCAAATACCGTGACTGGTTACAGTCAAACGGACCGGCTTTTATAAATGTACATTATCGCGAACAAGGATTATCATATCTATCGATCTCTATCAAAGACACATATTTCCTGTTTATGTAAAAAAAATATTATCCGTATCATTTAGCAGAAAAATCTTTATGCAACGTCAAATTTTAGTCATGAGTAATAGCAGTTTTTGTACGTCATCCGTAAAACAATGGTTATGACATGAAAATTTGATTAATAAAGAAACCCTTTATCGTGCAATTTTTATCGTTAAATTTGATTTGGTTAAACATGATTTATAAATACTATAATGATAAAAGATACGTAATAATTTAAAGAGGCGCAAAGATAACTCTATTGATTTTTCAGATGTTAGATAAAAATCGAATATTATCGATAAAAGATACGTAATAATTTAAAAAAGCACAAAGACACCTCTTATGATTTTCAGATGTCAGATAATAATCGAAACTCCAAAAACCTTTCATCACAAATTCCTAACGTATTACTGTACTTCCCAGTTGTTCCATTGTGATTTAAGGATATACATGAATCATTGAATTAAATATAATCTTCTGTCACCAAAATCTTGGACTTTTATGTCATATCTCAATTGACCTTTGCTTATAACGTTATATTATAACGTTATCAAAGCACAATCTGCATTGCTATCAAATACGATATAAAAGAAAGAAAAAACGAATAAGAATTTTTCATGTAAGTTTAAATGAGTAATCGGTTAATCTTATTGCGGACACAGCGAAATATCTCCGTGCCAATGAAGATACAGCTGCAATGACATTAAAATACGACGACGAGATACAGTCAATCCGTCGCCGTTGTCGAGAAATTTTGACTCCGACATCGTTGCGCGGTGTATTGTAACATTGTAACTCCAATCCAATATTTCGGTAGCATAATAATAATCAACAGTTGACCGTTCTGCAAACGATTCATTGTTATACTAGGTATAACATGTAAAATAATAAATCGTTATTATCGTATTTTATAGATTTCCGAATCAATATACACGCATGAGTTTATTATTTTATATGTAATTATATCGCTTTATAATTACATCTTTGTTGAATCTGCACAACATTAAAAAGATTGTAAATATGTCTGTGTATCATTTCTCTCTCTCTCTCTCTCTCTCTCTCTCTCTCTCTCTCTCTCTCTCTCTCACATATCATCTATTGTTAAATTTGAATGGTATATAACTACTGTGGTATAGTCAGTCTGTTTAGCATAAATGAATTAGATGTATTAAATTAAAGTGCAATAAATTAATTAAGCTTCCAACAATGTTAAAAAACAATAAGCTAATTCTACTTTTAATTTTTGTAATGTTATGTGAAAAGAAAAATAAAAATACAAAATTACGAGAATATTAGATATCTAAAATTAAGCCAAGTCAAGTATGTGAATGCCTATTGCTTAATTCTAAGTAACATCAAACTATCATGTTTAATTATAAAAATTGAATTTTGTTAGGAGAAAACAGGCTAGAGTTATAATCAATAATATATTCTTCAACATCACATTCTCCATGAAGGGATTTCGACATCGATTGATTGATTTTATTCGCGGTTTATCATCACGTAGCGGTACTTAAACAAAACTGCAATGTGAAATACAATGAAGTGAAAGTAGTTTCGAAAGAATGAACTTGTTTCACCGGATCTATTATTCCTGATTTATTGGCGATGTTATGACGGTGGTGGCGTTCGATACGAAGTTTGTTT